AACTTGCAATTTTTCCTTTTCGAGGGTCAAAATATTTTGTGGAGATTTTCCATGCTGGCTCCGCGGGCCAGATGAAAAGCCTCCGCGGGACAGATCTGGCCCGCGGGCCATATCTTGGGCACCACTGCTATAAACCCAGCAATCAAGAACAGTTCCAAATATGGAGTTCAGCTAGTTGATATAGCTCCCTGTGACTTCTGCCTGTTACCAACAGTAATGGTCAAAACTAAATCATGACTAGTCTGTAACACTTAACATTTCTTTGTCACATACCATAGCTCTATCAACAAATTCATGGCATTTTAATAAAAAAAATGTATTCAATTTTGAAGGGTGTCGAAATGTGGTGTAATTTTTGCAGTATAAATACATCATTGGTTAATGCATCACCAGAGCACCTTCTTTTTTCATGCCTAGCATTCCACAATTATAGAAATGAGTTTTAAAAAGATTTGGGACTCCTGAAACTTGATGATAAGTCTCTTTCCGAAATTTTAAAGAGGACTAAAATAAACTGTTAGCTTTATACAATTTATCCTCAATAGGATTCTCTTCACATTGTTTTATCAACTAGAACTTATGCTTTGATTTGTGTTTGTCAACTGAATTATGATGTAATTGATATTACTGATATTTTCTTTTTTAATCTAGTGCGGGGAAAAAAGTTCATGCATTTACATAAATTGTGCATTTGTAATTTTGTGCTGTAATTTCCTTTTCTTTAATACCCATAAAAAGCTGCTTTCTCTATCTTTATTCTTATGTAATGGACTGTGTTTGGATGAATGTGGGTGGGGAGGGGAGGTGGTTTGGATGCGGTAACATTGTTTGAACCTTGTGAATGCTGAAAAGCATATAATGAAGTTTATCAATCAATCAATCAATCAACCAACTACAGTGAAGATCAACCTAAAATAGATTGATTTTGAAGACATGGACAGCCCCATTTCAGCCATAAAAATTAGCTTGATCTAATAACTGAACTTGATTATTGCCACTGTTTGGATGGCTGGATTTACAGCATAGAAATATGCATTGAAATTGGTGGAGCATGTTGATCAGCACAGAAGTGTTTTCATATGATAGTGCTATGCAATTAAAAAAAAATGGAATAGTTGAAACTCCCTGCTTGGATCTATTCAAGAAAATCTAAAAACTTATGATCCAACCCTCACACAGGAAAGAGTGTCATTCCCGTCCCCATTTTCCCGTATTCCTTGTCGCGAAGCTCTTTCAATTTAGCACCCGTCAGGAACAAACTCGTTGAGTGAGTTCGGAATACTGTACAGTACTGGACACTAAGCTTCCGGTGCATATTAGATGTGGGGTGATATGCTGTGTTTGTGTGAATTACGAATATTGGGAGGATTCGGAAGTGTCGCCGGAAGTGTTTTCCCGAAGAGGAGCAGCTTCCGGGAAATCGTTCTTTAAATTCAGCGTCAGTTCTTGTGAGTTTAATTCACGCACTAGCCATTCTGATCGCTGGTTTATAAGTTAGGTGAGTATTCTGATCATATTACTCGGAGTCAGGCTGAATGTTTCTTTTAAATACCTGTAAATGATATTTTATTCTTTTAGACTGTTTAATATTAGAGTACATCGTTATTTCTCCCCTAGTAAAGTAGGTGCTTGCGAAGGTGTTTACGACTTATTAGCTTGACTCTCGAAAGTAGTTTTACATGACAATGTTGTGAAGGAGTTTTAACTTGCTAAACATGGAAGATGATGAAAATTATGATGAATACCCAGTTTCTCGTCATTTTTGGAAATTTCGCGATGAGAGAGTAGTGCAGAACTCGGATTCAGATCAGCCTTTAAAAAACCATGTAACACAACATTCAATTTTAATTGAGTGTGTACAACATGATCAGAAGTATTTCCATATTTAAAGTATCGTTTGAACATTACGATGTGCTTATAACCTGAGTGTATAATTGCGTCGTCATATAAGAAAATCCATTTTTGTTTATTTCTATCTGCAAATTTTTTTTGTATTTTACGCAGAAAAGATGTCACTGTCGTACTTAGTGCGGAAAAATCACGTGGCAATGTTGTTCTTGAAACATTCATTCTTGGATGAGGACTCGTTTTCTTATTGAATTTTCGTCCTTGTGAAGTGTCCAAGAGCTCCATCAAAACTTTCACGTCCGGAAACGTTATGCCGCGCGTATTTTTACCATAAAAAAAATCCCAGATGAAGACAGTTTTCTAATTTGTTACTTTATTTCTACATCAGCGTCTAAGAGCCCATATAGTGCACATAAGCTGGTGATGCTGTCGGGTTTCATTACAGCAGTAGCAGCCATCACCCAACATTTTACTTGCCCTTATTATCTCGATTCTCCTCCCACAAGGAAAGAGCTTTTTTTTTCGCCTTTCAAAAAATACGGCGCATCATAAAATTCAGAGGAAACGGAGAGTGGTAATATTAGTGCATTACTGTTGTTCTTATTGTATTTTTCTTCCATTAGAAACACATTAAACGCCTTGAATGCTTTCACGAAAAATCCTTGAGGTTTATTTTCTAAAATATGTCTCCAATAACTGAAGATGCATTCGTTTCGAAAAAGGAGAAAACAACTTGAATAACNATTTCGCGATGAGAGAGTAGTGCAGAACTCGGATTCAGATCAGCCTTTAAAAAACCATGTAACACAACATTCAATTTTAATTGAGTGTGTACAACATGATCAGAAGTATTTCCATATTTAAAGTATCTTTTGAACATTACGATGTGCTTATAACCTGAGTGTATAATTGCGTCGTCATATAAGAAAATCCATTTTTGTTTATTTCTATCTGCAACATTTTTTTTTGGATATTTTACGCAAAAAAGATGTCACTGTCGTACTTAGTGCGGAGAAATCACGTGGCAATGTTGCTCTTGAAATTTTCATTCTTGGATGAGGACTCGTTTTCTTATTGAATTTTCGTCCTTGTGAAGTGTCCAAGAGCTCCATCAAAATTGTCACGTCCGGAAACGTTATGCCGCGCGTATTTTTACTATAAAAAAATCCCAGAAGAAGACAGTTTTCTAATTTGTTACTTTATTTCTACATCAGCGTCTAAGAGCCCATATAGTGCACATAAGCTGGTGATGCTGTCGGGTTTCATTACAGCAGTAGCAGCCATCACCCAACATTTTACTTGCCCTTATTATCTCGATTCTCCTCCCACAAGGAAAGAGCTTTTTTTTTCGCCTTTCAAAAAATACGGCGCATCATAAAATTCAGAGGAAACGGAGAGTGGTAATATTAGTGCATTACTGTTGTTCTTATTGTATTTTTCTTCCATTAGAAACACATTAAACGCCTTGAATGCTTTCACGAAAAATCCTTGAGGTTTATTTTCTAAAATATGTCTCCAATAACTGAAGATGCATTCGTTTCGAAAAAGGAGAAAACAACTTGAATAACGATTAAATGGAACTCACATGACATCGAATAATGCTGAGATACGTTCTACTGCGTCTAGTTGACCTTGAAATTTGCTGACGAAATCTGAAGAAGGAAAAGTGACATTCAGAAAAAAAAATTGGCCATGTAGCTTGAAATAATAACCTCTAGGAAGCCGATGATGAGTCCGAAAAGACCAATGGCACTGCCAAAAATTTCCACTATCAGGATTTTGACGAATAAACTCCCGTCTGCTGCGTCAGCTAAAGCAGCTCCAGATCCTATTCAAGTAAAATTGCATTTCAAAAATTCAGTCATTTCGGAACAGTCTCTTTCACTATACAGTAAATACAATTTTGACAGGATTGAATGGAAACGCTGCTGAAATGGTGAAATATAACTCCCGAAGTCACTCTTAGCAATAATTGCGTCAATCCTCAAAAATTAAAGCTAAAATTCCGGTTCAAATACAATCAGAGGCTAAATTTACTTTGCTTAACTCACCGACTGTTCCCACTGCAATTCCGCAAAACAAATTACTCAGACCAACAGTAAGACCTGCTCCAAACAAAGAGAAGCAGGATTTCCAGAGCCTCACGTACAGGTCTCCGTGCATTCTCGCGTATTTCTCGTCAAAATTCTGCAAAAAATGATGCAAAAGTGAATTCAACCGTTTTCCCAGATTGAATTGGATGTTTCATAAAATGTGCATGTCTAATACTATTAATAGCTGCAAGGATTGCAAAAAAATGAATACCTCTACTGTGCTTGTGATGACAATTGATACGATCAGGCCGTAAATTGCCACTGCTTCGCAAAAAATTACAGAAATCAAGTTTTTGGTCTTGATTCTTGGCGCTCGAACGCCTCCTCCCATGATGCTCACGCCAGTGGTGTAAATTCCTCTGGGAAAATATAAAATTCCATGCAATTTGAAAATAAGCAATCTTTATTTTAAGATGAAGTCATATTAATTACAAGTGGGCCAACAACGCCCCCAGATAGAGCGCAACAATAGCACAGAAGTCACTGTTGATACTTTCCTCGACCAATTTATTAATTTCAAGCATAATTTTGGAAAAATTATGGTGCTTCGTCAGATTGGATTCTATTCAATTTTAGTTCGAGTTTCTTTCAGATTTAGGGTTAATTTATGTCATGTGTTGGAGATTAATTATAGGTAGAGTGATTACAGGTGCAAGGTTCAGTCGTGAAGCATATTGATCAACACCTCATCATTTTTTCAGCCTTCATAAAAATAAGTTTTGTATCAAGAGTGACGAATGTGTATTAATGTGTATATTCATTCACTTGCTTCTTTTTAAAATCTTTTATGACGATGCGTAAGATTCCTATGAATAACATTGTTGCAGCAGAGTTGACTGATTCAGGGTGACCATGCGGAAGTGGTCCCTTTTCAGCCTTTTGCATAAACTTTATGAAGTATGCTAGCATTTTTGAAAGTTGCTTAGCTTGGGTGATTGATGTTCCTTTTTGATGCCTTCGAGGCTCTTCCACTCGAATGATGAAAGCTTCAAAATTCCCTGGCATGACAGGCATTCCTCAAACCCCCGCTTTCAAAAAAAAAGTTTCATCCTGCGAGAGACTACAACTGCAGGAAATTTTTTTTTTTTTAATACAGCTTCAGATTCCTGATGGGCTATTCCACTTGAGGGTACCGAATGATCAAAGTAAATTGTGAAGAAAGGAAATTGTTTCTTGTCGATCATTAATTTACCCACTATACTTATTCGGCAAAAAAATTAACACAGCTTTATCTTTTCTTCACGAAACGTATTCCAACAACTGCTAAAATTTAAAATTCTTAGTTTTAAAATTTACTCCATGCATACTTAGCACGTCATTCAGCACATGACTTGATGTAATTGAGGATCTGTGACGTAAAAAAGGCTTGAGCGTATCTAAAGGCGAGACATTTGATAAAGAGAAGCAATATCAGATTTATCCAACCATAAGAAGTGACGCAGCACGTGGTCTTACTAGAGGCAACGACTTTCAAGAAGATGAAATGTACTGCACTTCACATTTCCCCCAAATATACGTCAGCAATAGCAGGCGTCCCAGAAAAAAAAAATACTGGCCCTTCTCCAAGATGTAGACTACAAAAAAAAAGGTACTGAACTACAGATGCATCAAGTTGCAGTACCCAGTTTATGTCCTGTAGAGCGAGAAAAAGCTACGACATTCAGTTCAAAGAAGAGTTCAATGCACCCTCCTTTTTTTGGGGGGTTCGATAAAACGTACATCGCAGCCCCAATGACTGACAGAGCCACGGAGAGAGCATTTCCGAACGAGATCCACATGAAGGGCGAGGCATTTCTGAGGAACCAGATGATGCTCAGACGCTCCCCAGAGCCCGTCAACACGTACCCGAGAGCTGAGCACGAAAAACGGAACCCGTCAACAAGTGTCCCATTATTTTTTTCTTCTTTTCGCAATTTATTTTATTTTCGCGACAACTCACCGAACCCCAGCAGTATGAAGCACAGGAGCAGGAAACAGAACTTGAAGGCTGATTTGATGGAAATTGAAGAGTCGTCTGGCCCCATTCCGATCATGATGAACAGGAGCCCCGCAGGGGGGAAAACTCGCTATAGGGGAATTTTCTGGGCTCTTTAAATGGATAATGATTTCACGACGAGCTTGTTCCTTTCCTTTTTCATGAATTCAAGTTGTAATATCAGTTTAATTAGTGTCTGGACAAATCAAGCACATCTCGTTTCACTTCTGTTGGAAGTTTCTGCATCCTGAGACTTAAGGACCCTGACCGGTTTTTATTCCTTGTTATCCTGTGTTTGTTGAGCTTTCATCATTTCACTGGTTTTTGAAATCGTGATTCATGATTTCAGGACGAGTGAAATCACAACGAAAAACAAGATTTGCTTTTGCAATAATATTTATGTTTTTAGCCTGACAATGCGTATTACATCTTGATGAATATTGTGCAATACTGTAATACGCAACAGTACTGCTGTCGACGGGAAGAAAACATGAATGTTAGATATTTATTAAGAAGAATGCGATGAATGCGTGACATTTATTACGGGAGAACCCCATGAATGCTTCGAAGTGCCGAAAAGTGCATCTTCTTGGTAAATATAAGACACGAAACGACATGCAATTATTTTTTTTAACTTCCGGGATCTGATATATTTTTCAATGACGCCGAAAAATTTTTTCTTTTCTACAACAAAAATTCGAGAATGACCCATCTTTTATTTTCTGGAATTAAAATAATGCTTATGGTTGAAATTGGTTTTTACACGGCAGTTCTAGGCTTTCTTTGCTGATTTAAACACCAGTGTATAAATACTGTACGAATTCACACTTTTGTCAGGACCACTACATTGAATTTCCTGAAATCCTTACTTTTGCTGGAAACATATTAGCTGAATTGTCATCCTTTTAAATGGCATCGGATTGATCACAAGAAGCACAATTTAATCTGGATTTAAAATCAACTCTCAAAATTTGAAGATTTCTTTCCTTCATTTCCTTGCGTGACCTACTTTTCGAAACTTAGCGAATGGGAATTTTTAAAATTTAATTCATTGGTGTACAATTGTACATCATTATGCAGTAAAATGCGTGAAGTAATTCTGAATGGAAAAATTTTTGACAGGATCCCCGTAAAATTTCATTTGCGATTCAAAATTGTATCGATGTTCATCAATCCAAGATCAAGAGAGCCCGTCTTTCGCGGGTTTTATATTCTCAAATATACCTGGGATTATGGTGGACATGACGGGTTAAAAGATGTGGAGGAACAATTTATTCCGATCAGATGAGTATTCATTGGAAGCAGCAATTTGCCTCTATATATGGAAATTACATTTTAGTAAGCAAATCCGAACGTTCAAATGCACTGTTGCTATGGGATCAGCCAGCATTAATACTGCATTACTTCGATGGACTATGGTGAACAATGTACACTATTTACTATAGGTTCCCTTTAAAGAAAAAAAATGTTTGAGGAAAAAGAACTGGCTCAAGAAATGTTAGCAGAAATCCGCCTCTAAAAGCAATTACACCTTAGTAGGCAAATTTACAAAATAAAATTTGTGTGCGATCAGCATGTAATTATTTCTTGCGCAATTATACAGAAAAGGCATTTATATTCAACGATTTTCAACTTAAAAATCGATGTGACAAATAAATTAACGTTTGCCTCGTCAGTCAGTCAGGACTTAATCAAATTTGTCAAAAAGACTCGTCTTATGATTAATAACGCTCAAATATCTCCGAATATGATTTTTTTCCGTTATACTGAAAGTGAAAAGGGTTGCATCGATCGAGCGGAGCTCAATATTTGGTCACCGGAGTAAATTCGCGTCAATTGACCACTTGTTTCTTCTTTCTTCTTCTTTTTTTGCCCGCCAAACGCGGCAAAAAATTTGGATCTGACCTTTGTTCTCCGCCATGCAATTCATGGGATGTAAAGGCGGGGGTGGGTTGGAGGGATTTCATTTCCGTTCTGTTTATGGAACCAGGTCTCCACGCAATCTGCACACGTCGTTCGGGGTCGGGTTGCTGTCTAGATCAACAAGGACATATTGGGTCAATTTTGGTCTACTCATAAAAGAAATGGAGATATCCCGAATGATTTCCGAGGAAACCCCCGGTATGGTCAGAATGCGAAGAATACTGCTTCGTCATAACTGTGTATCATGGAAAAGGAATGACATTGCGAGATAGAAGATTGAAAATTTGGCACATAACCGTGTTTTCAAAAATTTCAACTCAAAAGTGGGAGTGGCATCGATAGAATTTTTATTTTTTTTACGAAATAGCCCCAGACCAACGGGTAAAATTTTCATAACGCTGAGTGAAATTAATTAAATCAAGTGTATGGTAAATGGATTGGATTAACCAGACGAGAGTTGATGGAGAATACAACTTTTTTTCGTTGCCGGCTGGAAAATCAATGACAGATGAATCACTACTCGATCAAGATGTTTCAAGAATTTAAAAATGAGAAAAGCCCGAAATTGTGGGAACCTCTAAACGTTTAAAATCCCCAATATTTTATAAATTCTTGAAGTAGCGCTAAGAAAATCCAGTGCATTAATCAATTTCCTCAAGGACAACGTATATTTTTGTAAAATCCGCTTCGGTAATTCACGTGCGAAAAATTTACATGGAGGTGAAGTTTTCAAACGGTTTCTTAAAATGATTGCAAATTTTTAGAGACAGCTGTCCTGAGTTCGAGCGTCTTTTGATGATTCCCAAGCAGCCCATCGGAAAAAACTTTGTTTGCCTCAGTAATTTTTCAGGGCTGAGATAACGTTTTAAAAACGTTAACTTTTACTCGTTTTCTAGATGAAAAATGAGAGGAGGCAGAATTATTCTGCTCGCTTCAGAGATTTCAGCTTGTAACATCCAAAGAAACGTTACGAAAAACATTTCTGGATTCACTGAATTTATCAATTACTTCGAGATGCACGAGTCCTTGGAGTAATAAACCAAAAAAATATTGTATGCTGTACATTATTGATCTTCGAATGAGTTTTAAGTTAAAAAAAAAATCGTAACCCGTCTTGAAATCCTTTCATATAACTGTCATCGATGAAGAAACTTTTCTGGTGTTAAATTTCAGATTGCCTCAAGTACTGTACGACCAAACAAGCTTTCCGACCCAGAAAATACAGTCCTTTTATTTTGCGCTTTTTTTATTAGTCGTTTGCGAGTTGACTTGAGCCTTTGGAAAAACGACGGACATGTAGAGGGTTCAGAAAGGGTTAGGAATGAAGGAGAGCTTTACGTTGTTTACTGAAGATCGACTTCTTTCAAGACTCCCATGCCCTGGGCCTTACGTATATACTGATGGTAATGAGCCGGAGGTGAGAGATCAAGCAGAAGCTGAGACGGCATTGTCTTTCTGGCCTTTTGTCCGTGCTCATATTCTACCCCCTTTTTTTTTCTTCGCACTTCCCCAATCCCGAAGGAAAAAGCTGCCTTTTGCTCAATACCAGGGATTCCATGTTCTATATAGCCTTCTAGCACGAATTGCACATGTCTCGCTCGCATGTTTCATTGCAGCGAAGCAACGCGTGAATATATAAAGACGTTTTTTTTTTCAAAGGAGTAACTCATGGAACTTTTTTCCACTGAATGGCTTGCTGGAAGACTAATGTAGATTAAACATTCGCTGTGAACAAGCAGATTGAAAATATTCTGCACTATAGACGACGTTGATTGTAATTTATTTGTTTAAAAACATTGGCCGCAATTATTATTTTTTTGCGGCCAGAATCGTGCTCAAAAACGCTTTTGCTGCCCGAACGCAAAATATTCACGTAAAGGTCCCATGGTATGAAATATTTCTGCCACCTTTCTCGAAATCGGCGTTTTAAATTAGTGTCGATTTGCAATTTCAAGATTTAAAGGAGCTGTGGCAAGAAAACGATTTAATGTTGCTCAGTTTTGAACCCATACACGAATGGTTAACACTCGACATTTTATACAGTATCTTATTGCTATAAACCGCTGATGAGAGGTTGAGAAACTGTGTGTAATTCATCTTTTATTTCGTGGCCTCCATACTTTACCCCCAAAAATGTCTCCGAAAATTAAAATGCGGCTATAATAATTTTGTTTATGCAAGAAGATTTTTGGATCCATAGGAAGCAGTAACGAAGAAAATTTATAAGGTTATTTGAAATACTTCTATTCTTTGGTGAAAAAATTCAAAATTTTAAAGCATTCGGGAATGGCAGGTGAACCTGATCGCTCATACTTGTAGAAAAAAAAATTCTGATCGAGTGAATTCAAGGTCAATGTAAGTTAATTTTTTTGCCATGATATTTTGACTAAAAAATGGTATTTGGAAGTATTTTAAGAATCGTCTCTGATGGGTAACGGCTGTACCACAGAATTCTCTCCGTGACTCAGTGGTTTTGATCGATGTTCACAGAGTTATTATCGCAAAGGTATAGGCAATCCAGTAATCCTCGACATAATACACTGCCTCATATGACTTAGAAGCTGATCTCTCGCTTTGGGAGCAATATTCCCTGAGCACACTTACAAGTGGGAGAAGGATCCCCACAAGTGCAAGATCCTTTTTATATACACATAATGGTACTCACTTATCTGCCCTCTCCAGCTTCATTTTCTTTTCCTCTTCTTCGTTTCCTCATTCTTTTCATATTTCTCGCGTTTATGTGTATAAGGCCGGAAACGTGTGCGAGAGATTGATGGCTCGCGGAGGAACAAATGGAGTGAAAGAAGGAAGTCTGAGATTGGCCCTGAGGTAGATTTTCACGCTTTTGAGAATAAAAAGGATAAGGGCTTGTCTCTGAACTTACTTGTCGTTTGCGTGCTTTGAAGCAGCATTTCACTGCAGCGACCGCCTTCAGTAGGATCTAAATAGCATTCGAGAAGCTTTTAAAAATATTTTTTGACGTGAACGAAGATGAACAGCGTACCTGACATGGATGGGATTTCCGAAATATTCGAAATCCGTCAGTTTGTGGACAGTTTTCATGCCCCTATATTTATAGACGACTTGAAATATATATTTTTTTATCGTCAGAACTCAGAAATCCGACGATTTTTCCAGTTTTTCCGAAGATTTATTTTGTTTTAATGTTCTCCATATTACCTTTAAAATAAGTTATTTTCTTATCCACATTTCTGACCCGCAATCTTCGTGAAGTAAAATCGTAAGATGCATTCTCCGTTTGTTCGCTGAGGATTTTCGACAATGGAACCTTTGATCTGTACGAAACCTTTCTCATCG